GGGAAAGAGAAGAGAAGCACCTGGTTAGGGTTAGATATTGTGCTGCAGGCAGGTGACGAGGTCTCTTTCCCACCAGGACTATTCAAGCAAAACATTAGCTCAAAAGAATAAAGGGCCCCAGAGATGGGATCCTTGGAAAAGTTAATACTCTGATGATCTGTGTATCCTCTTGGTCAGTTCCCAAACAAAACTCCCCCCAATCCCATCCTATATTCTATCTCTCTTTGCTATAAGAACTCTTCACTGTTACCATTTGGAAAATAGTGCACAATAAAACTGGTTAAGGGCAACTTGTTATCAGACATACCTGGTTTGGAATAAGTTATTAGCTGCGTGACCTTGGATAAGTTAGTTAACCTGTCTGAGCTTAAAATTTTTCATAAAATTTTATGAAGCTACTATACTGAATATTAAGTGAGTTAACTAGACAAAGTTTAGTGAAAAACCTAGCAAGATAATAAAGACTCAAGTATAATGATTGTGGTTATCATTAGGTTTCCTTGCTTTTGAGGGCTCTTCCATCTGGCTTTCAAGGTTTTCCTTGTTTTATTGCTAACTGCTCTCTTTGCAGGTATCAAGCTTTTATTTCAGTTTTCCCACCATCTGTAGTTGCTCCCTACTAGTAGTTTTTATTCAGTATCTTTTTCCACCATTTTTTGTTTATTGATCCAGTTTACAAGGTGGATTGCCCCTTTTTCCTGAACTAACCTCATTTCTCATGGTCTAAAAAGCAGCAGCCCTTGAGTCCTCAGATCTTGTAGCTTTCAGCAGTCCTTACTAGACCCTTACTCTGCTCCAGGCACTCTACCTTCTACCCCCATATCTCTCGAGGCAAAGAGATATATGATAATCTCAATTCCCCAAATGAATTTTGGAGCAGAGTTTATACCATAGACAACTACCGGTTTTTTGATCATTATATTTCCATTGCTTGGGCAGCATAGTTCATCCTTTTCTTCATGTGTCATTTATTGAGCATAAAGTTCCAGAAGTCAGTAAGTTAAAGTCCCTGCCTGTGAAGAGTTCTCAATATAGTGAGTTTTCACAAATCACTGAAGTAAAACCCACCTATGCAAAAAGCACCCAGATACATGTCAACTAGCGTTGTGTGAAAGGCTTTTGTCTTGTCTAACCTTGATAAGGCAACCAGATTATTATGTTTCACAACAGAGATTGATTTTCAAAGATCGAGAAACTCTAGTACAAGGTGAGACCCTCCCCCCTCACAAATACATACTGATATCTCTGGACGCGCCCCCTTCTCTTACTTAGAGCCCAGGCAGTCTTCCATTCCTGCAGCATCCTCCGCAGGACCACAAGTTGCCAAGTTATAGCCTCCAGTGATTCTGCCTGTGTCTTCAGTTTCTTGGTCTTAGTAGGCAGGTCCTCTTCACCCACCTGCAGCAGCAGATCCTTGGCCGGAGTGGGCAAAGCAGTCCAGCGGAGAGCTCCTTTCACAGGCCTATAAGCTGTGCAGTTTGGCAGTATGAGATATTCTCATCCCACTCTTCTAGGCCTTGTGCTTCCAGCTAACATCACATTCCTATTCTTGACTAAGAGCAAAGCAGAACAAAATTCCCAAGAGCAAACTTTCCTGTGATTGTATAGGGAACTGAGTACAACTCCCATAGGGAGTTAGGAAAAGTCCTGATGAGAGACATGATAAAGCCGTGATGATGGGGGAGAAAAGCTGAGATATTTACAAACTTTTTTATAAGTTTAATAAATCTTTAGGAATATAAATATGTTTATATGTAATAGGGTATGCTCATAAAATTCAATATTTGACATATTATAATTTAAAGTAGAGTAAAATTGGTTATTAATTCCTAATTAAGTTTTCTTTTTAATGTGAGAGGAGGAATGGTGATATAAGCTGCTACGTTTTAAAAGTTTTGGCATTTCTGGGTTTTTCCTAATTATGACAAATAACAGTTGGAAATTTGAGAACAAGATAATATATGACTATAGTTGTTATATAAAAAGTTATAGTTTTTTCTAGGCTTACTGTTCTCCCTGGTATCAGATTCAGAAAGCCTCTTTCTCAGAGGAGTAGTTGTATGGAAAAGGAGAAGGCAAAACAGATAAAAAATATTTCCAGATCATTAAATTTATTATTTGCTACACCGCTTCTCAGTTTCATGTTCTTATCTGTCACTATCAGCCCTTTCTGTTTCTTCCAAGATTTCATTCTAACTCTAACACATTTAGATTTGCTCTGAATCAGTTCCTTCCCTTAAACAAAGAAGGTAATACCATTTCTTCTAATGTAAAGAAGAAAAGTCCTGTGAGACTCCAGGGCAGTTTAGGCTCAGATCCCTATAGCCTCTAAATGGTCCTCACCCCGCTTCGTCACACTGGCGGGGAACTCAGTCACGCCATTCAGGGCTTCATTCCTTTGCAGTGTAGGATGTGTGCAGTCACATGACACTCCCTGCTTCTCCCAGCCTGCTTGAAATCCCTCCCAAGGAGTGATAAGTAGTTGAATTAACTCCCTCCCTCCTAAATTCCCTGTTCAGGGAGTTAAAATGGATATGGTGAGAAAGTCTTGAATCTCTGATATTTAACCTCTGTGGGAATAAACATGTATAACAGCCAACATTTATTTTACTTCCAGTCCTTTGACTTCTAGTCAGGTAGCAATACATCTAGTAGCCAGCTTCCACATCAAAAGTCATCTCGAAAGGAGCACACAAAGAAACAACCCTTTGATTTTTCTGTGAGACAAAAGGTGCAGCAGTGCGCTTTGTTGGCGGGAACAAATGGTGCCTTTTAAACTTGTACCCTAAAACCTGTGCCTGGTGCAGGGGAACCGTAATGCTTGTTTGGGCACACTAGAGAATTTTCTATCATGATCTGGGGGAAATTAAAGGCTATGTAGTAATAAGTATAGTTTGTATCTTAAGAATTTTTATCATTTTAAAGAAATCATCATCAAAGTTTTTCAATTCCATCAAAATGGAGAGGGAAAAAATCTACCAACATCTAACCCCAGGAATTTTTCTATTATTTCCAGGTTCTTTCATACTTAACATTTCCTAAGATGAAATGATGAATAAAATGGTTATATGAAGGTGTGTGTATATATAACTATTCTGACTTTACTTCCCTCAGATCAATTTCAAATATTATCTTAAAAGAAATGTTTGATGTGAAAAATCCTACAGCATCAACTCATTAAATGTTCTGTGTTCTGGTGGGGAAAAGGCAGGCATCCAGCACCACTGGGAAAAAGTACCTATGGAACAAGTGAGATGGGTGTGAAGCTTCTGCGAATGCAGTAGGATTCTCAGAGGGTTTTTTTTAAAAAAAAAAAATAGCTTTATTGATAGAATTCACGTGCTAGAAAATTCATCTTTTTAAAGTATATACAATTCAGTTGTTCTAAGTATATTTGCAGAGTGTGTAACTATCACCACTATCTAATTTTAGAATATTTTCATCACCCCCAAAAGAAACCCCATACCTATTTCTTCCTCCCTCGCAACCACTGATCCACTTTCTGTCTCTGAATTGGCTTATTCTCAGAGGAAAGGACATGGCTTATGGGGAAGGTAGTGTACTAATAATAATGCCTTGAGTTTGTACAGCCCGTATTGTTTTATAAAACATTAAGAAAATCACCTCTAAGTGTCAATAAGTACCACAAAAGTTCCTTGCTCTAGGAACGATTACTATCTGTTTTAATGAAGCAACTGAACTCTCCAGAAGGTGACTTGCCAAGACCCAACCCAAGGCTTTGCTGGGGTGCTTCCTCTACTGCTTTATAATGGTGGTCCCCAACAAAGAAAGAGGGTGTGTGAGCACTGGGGAAGCTGTGCTTGGCTGCCATCTTTAGCACCTCCTCTATTCTAGTGACTCTTGCCTAGCCAGGCAGCACTGGAGACAGGTTTGGGGCTGGTAGAGAAAAGAATGGGTCAGTACTGCTGCTAGTTCATTTCTACACACCAGGGGGCCCATCTGAACAGTGATACTGCAAAGAAGAGTCATGGGAAATGGAGACATAGTCTCTGGAGGATGGCCATTTTTTGTTCCATAAGTTCATTTCCTGGCTACTTCTCTTCCCTCTATCTTGTCTGTCTTACAGAGTGAAGAAAGATGTACATGTGAAACAGAAACTTAAAACAGAGGATGACTCTGAAGCATATATGGGCCTGAGAAAGGAGTGGGAAGGTAGAGCCAGCCCAAGGAAAAAGGGCAGAGTGCAGGATCAAGGGTTTGATATACTTTGCCTGGAAGCATTAAGATAGGATCTGCCTTACTGGTAATTACTGGCTCTAAACCTCTTTATTACACCTAAGTTTTATCGGATTTCATCTGAATGGATGCTCTACAAAGGCTCTTCCTAGTTTCGGTTAGTAGTTTATGAGATGATTTTTAGTCCCCCGCGATGCTGGTGCCCACCCAATGAAGAGAGGCCTAAAGGAAATAGCCACACTTCCATCTTTACCCCAATTAACATATCGGCTTCCTGCTTACGTGCTTCCGGAACTGGCTGGGAAGTCCACTTTTCTGGGGTTTCAGGGAAGACCTTAGATAGCTGCTTGTTGTACTGGTTGCGGTTTTCCAGGAAAATTTGGTCTCTCTTTCCACCAATCTTGTGAATAACCTGGACGTTATCTGTAAACAGATAAATGAGTCCCCAGCACCCTCCTCCTTCTTCTTTCTGGATTTTCAATCACCAGGATCATTTTAGCCCCTATGATTCATGACTGCCATGTTTGGGGACATCTCTTGAAGGTGACCACTGCTTGGAAATATGAGTTAGTGACCTCAGAGCCCTGGAAGCCAAAGCAGAACCTGTCTAGCTACCTGATAGGCATTGGTCCCTATGAAAAGCTAAATACTAATAAAGGGCTACCTAATTCATTTCATCAGTCATAAATACCTTCGTCTGAATAATTTTGTTAGGCATTTAAAAAGAGTTTCAGTTGACAGCAATTTAGGAACAACATGAGGGTAGAAAAGAATAAACAGCTTGGAGCATGCAGACCTAGATTGTGTATCCTGGAAGCTTAGGCATCTCAAGGATAGTAAGATGGAAGGGGAAGGTAGTGGACATTTACTGGGCATTTGGCAAGAAGCATTATAGATGCTTTCTTGTCTGCTCTTACTTGAAGTGCATTTTTGTTAATATTGTTTTACTAATAAGGTACATAGGCTCAGGGGGATTATATAATTTGCTGAAGGTTAGTAGGAAGAGGTTAAGCCAGGATTTAAACTCAGATGTCCTTTACTCCAAAGCCTGATTTTTTTTTTCCAGTATAGCATTTCAGTGGAGGAATATCTCAAAGTGAGAGAGGGAGAAGAGGGAGCTCGTTTCCAAAGCCAAGTCTTGCTTTACAGTTCCACCCTCTACTGCCTCCTTGGTAAGATAGAGGGATAGAGTAGCGTGGGGAAAGGGAGAACAGTTTCCTCCCCACCAGATTCTTGTGTGCACCGCCCCCCCCCCCAAAAAAAACCAAACAAACAAAAAAAACACATCCAGCTCCTGTGCAAGTAACCAGGGAATGTTAACTATAAGCACCTGGGTCATCCAGGAACTTTCATCCATACCCATGACTGTGTTATCCCCTCGCTACCTTCCACCTCCTTATTCCATGCCCACCACAGCCCCCACCCAGCTCTATTACCGAAGTAAATCTCCTGTTCAAAGGTGTTGTCTGTGGAGTAAGCAAACTTTCCAGCTCGGTCATTCATCTGTCGGAAGTAGCTCTTCTTTGGGGGCTGGCAGATGCTCCTCTGTCCACTGATATCCTCCGCGGTCTTATTGTTGCCAGACATAGTTTCTAATCTCTGCACTTGCGATAAGTAGTTGGGCATTCTTGGCAGGAGTGAGAGAGGGAGACAAGGTGGGGAAATGTAGCAGATGGACCTCCCCTTTCCAACAGATCCACAGCTCATTCCCTTTCCTCTTTAAACTCAGCTCATAATGGGCATTTAAAGAACACCTATGTTTAACTACTAACCTTGCCTCCAAGGTTCCAGCTGAAGAGCTGCCAAAAGGGCCTGTCTCCAGCCACCTCCCCCCTCACCTAGTTGAGCCACTGCTTTTGCAGCCACTGGACAGCACGACGGAGTGGACATCCTCCCAGCAGTACCCTTCTTTAACATCGGTGCCCTTAGAGTTTGCGTGGACTTGGGGAAGGGAACCCACCTCCTACATTACCTCACTTTATTACGTGTGTGGTTATTTTAATATCTGCCCACCTCCAGTGGACAGATTGTAAGCTCTTTAAAGGATAGGTCCATGTCCGTCTCATTTACATTACATTGCTGGTACTTTACAAAATACCTGGAAAGTAGTGGGAATGCAATTTATCTTTGTCCAATGAATAAGTAAACGGGTTTCCGCTTACTTTTATTTCCCTTTTTAGAATCAGATATTATAATAGCTCCAGTCTTCCCTCTAGCTATCAATGAGAAGGAAGCAATCTAAGAAATGCACAGTAATCCTCTTCTCTCAGGTTGTTTACTTCTCTCTCCTGCTGCCAGTCAGTTTTTGAGTCAGTGACATGCTGGCTGCTTATTCGAAGTGAGGCAGGACCAAATCTCAAGACCCATGAGGGCTCTGCCTTCCTCATTCTCACCATGGACACATTTCTGGAAGCACCTGGATAGAAACTGGATTACCAGAAAGGGAAAGGCTGAGAACCAATCTCTTTAAAGGCAGTGGTTCTCAACAGGGAGCAGTTTTATCCCTCAAAGGGACATATGTCAATGTCTGGAGACATCTTTGGTTGTCACAACTGGGGACTGCTACTAGCATCAGAGGAATGCTGCTACACATCCTACAATGCACGGGCAGCCTCCCACAACAGAGAATTATCCAACCCAGAGTATCAGTAGTGCCAAGGCTGAGAAACCTTACTTTATGGAAGTCTTAGCAGATTAGTGGTGGAGAATACGAGAGGCTGATCAGAGAGTGCATTGTGAAATGAGTGTGAGCCTACCCAGGGAATCCTTGATGGGGAGCCAAGGATTCTCAAAGGCATGTCTGAGGCCCAGCCAGCCTACCTATAATAAACAGGAAGCAGCAGCTCTGGCTCCTTTTTTTCCTGGATGGGCACGATGATACTTCGATCCTCAAAATCCGCTGTCTCTTCTTCCTCCAGCTGTTTCAAGAGCTCCAGGTCGCTGGCAGAAGTGAGCTCATCCCGGATGTGGCTCCAGTCATATTGCTGACGCAAGAAGCTCTGCCACTTGTTGGGAGACACCCCAGGCCTTAGAGGACGCTTGTTCTGGATCCATCGGGCAGTGCGCTTGTTCAGCTTTTCCAGCACGAGAGCCTCCCAGGCTCTGGCCTCCTTCTCAGGAGGAGGAAGCCAGGCTTCCCTCTCTTCTAGGTTCATATCTGGAGAAAGTGACAGACTCAGTGTGTCTGAATCCCCTGAGGGATGAAGACTGTGAACACAAGATGTTTCCTGGACTGTGCGTGCTGAGTTTGATTTCTTTGGCTTCTTAAGATTGGCAGAGCATTCTGTCTTCGTGGCCTGGGAGGTAACCCTTGCCGAAGGACCCGAAGAATCCAAGAACTTAAAGCTGACAGGTTTGTCAGGTCGGGCCTTCCTGATGTGAGGAACTTGGATGATGTTGTCTGCATTGTACACATGGTCAAAGCTGTAATGGCTGTAAGGAATGCTGGGCAGCCCTCGCTGCCACACCACCTCCCGAGAGAAGGTAAGGTTTGAAGCAGCCTTTTTCAGATATTGGTTCTTGAGGTGCGCACAGTACTGTGGGCTGAAGTCAAAGACTGGAGGCACGCTGGAGACGGAGGTGCACTCCTCCTTGCTTCTTGGTTTTAAGTAGAAAATCATGCCCCATGCCAGCCGTGGGGGTAGTGACCGATGGAGACAGTAGGGGAGAAAGTTCTTTTCCCTTTGGGTCCTGGTCATCGTTTCCCCAGCAAATGCTTCCTTCCACACTGCCTGGTCCAGAGGCAGGGCCAGGAAGCGTGACCAGTCACCTGTTAAAGGAAGGGGAGGAACTAGTGAGCGTTCTAGGTCGGTAGAAATTGGTAGCCCATAGCAGTACAGAAAGAAAAGAACTTGGAAGACAGATGAGCGGGGGACAGCAAGTCATGTGAATTAGAAGGACAAAAGAAAGAAATGGTGCAGCACTCTAAGTATTTTTTGTATCAGATCTTTGCTTTCAATTCTCACAGTTGTCTCCAAAGCATAGCCCTTTATCCCCTTTCCAGGAGTAGCTCGTGCTTTCAGTTTTTCTTCAAACGTTGCTTCCTCTCTGTTCAAAGTCTTATATCGCTCGGCCTGGCATTTGGGGTTCCCCACAAGTGTGACCTGTTAATGGTTAAGGACCTCCAGTTAATGACCTTGTCCTGACATGTGACCTCTTGAGTGTCCTAGCTCTTCTCCGAGTATTCCTCCCTTCACAGAGTGGAGCTTCTGTCTGTGTCCTCTAAATGAAATAGCCTTTCTTCCATACTTGACACAAATTCTACCCATTCTTCCAGGGCCAGCTCAATTTCTGCCTGCTCCATAACTCTTCCTTGACCTATCTATGTCAGACACAAATTTATAAATTACTTATAGTCCATACCAGTTATTTTAATTTTTAATCTTGTGAGACTCCATATTATCCACAAATGTTACTTAGACCAACATTTTGAGGCAGAGTCCTCTCTCTCAGCAAACACCCCTTAAGAACCAAAAGCAGAGTGGCAGGTCTCAGGTGCTTTTGTGCACTGACCACATAAGAAATTGAATAAATGGCATCCTACAGTTATTCAAACCTGGCATAACTGCAGACGAGGCCTGTAATCTGGTAAGTAGCAATCGCCAGCATTATTGCTGCCCTTCTAGGAACTTAGGTGGACAGGCAGGTGTGGGGTTGGAAGGGTTAAGCCACATGCCTCCAGTTAAAACGTGGTATAAGAATCCAGACTTAAAATGGGTGGTATCTCAGAGGTTCCACATTTAGTTTCACTCTCTATTCACCTTCTCAGTCCCCTACCCTCACCCCCTGGGTCTGGTACCATTATTCCGCAGAAATAGTTGAAGTGGGCTGAATAATGTGTGCTATAAAGAATAATGTCTTGCTTTTTTCCTTGTCATTAAAGCAGTAGAAACTGCCACAGAAAAAAGGCGAAAAAAGAATAAACCATAGCACAGTAAAAAGTAATACAGTCTCACCTCCACCCACAGATTCTGAAGTTCTAAGGTAGGGCCCAAGAGGGGACAGCTTCTAGGACAGCGTTAAATATGGTTAAAGGACACTGCATCAAGAGCACCTAAGGAGCTTGTTAAAATGCACACCCCAGAATATTGATTCAGTAGGCTGCAAATGAGGCCTAGAAATCTGCATTTTAACAAGCTCTCAGAGGTTTTTATACACATTAAAGAAACCTCAGCCCCAAGAGGTATTTGTGGGATGTATGAAGGAAGCTTAGTTAGTGGGGAGAGTGGGATCAGGGAATACAGCCTCTTAACCTGATTCGTTTCAAATCCCTTCTCTCTGCTGTTTCTCTAGTCAGAAAGTTCCTTCATTTTTTCTCCTCTACTTTCTAATTCTCATTCCTCACCATGCACTCACGGATATAGTGCTGTCTCCTGAAATTACTCTGGAAACTCTGCTGTAAGGATGATTTGTTCCTGCTCTTTTATCTTACATATTTCAATACCGAGGCCCAGAGAGAAGAGATGCGACTGTGATCACAGGACTAGTTAGCTTCTGAAGCAATACTGACCTTTCTGACACCTAATCCAAGATCTTTCCAACTACTCCAGACTGCCTTCCATCATTCAGCTGCTGCTGAGCTCCTTTTAAAACAGCAGTGTTTGAAATACCTCCAAAATGGCCTCCCACAACACAATCTTCAAAGGGAGAAGCAAGGTTCTGCATCTTAAACCTTCCTTAGTTTCTTAGGTTCCAAAGTTGTTTATTTTGGTTACTAGGCAACCACTTCTTTATAATTCCATGAGTCTATTCACAGAACCTGGGGGTTCAATCAAGGTATCTTCAACTATTTATTAAATTTCTTCCTTTGTAAACTGAGCTTTGGGAAATTGCACTGTATTTATGGATTGATGGCAAAATGGATTTCTTGGTCATCCTTTGAAAAATAAACCTCTAAGTCTATGCAACTCCATATTTTCCCCACCACAGTGGTTCATAAGTCCTACTAAGAAAGAGGCAAAGCAGGGAACACATGAATACAGGAAGCTCTGGCATGCTTCAGTTGACCAGGCTGATGAGAACAAATGACAAAGTAGAATGAATCTGTCTTTGCGGCCTGTTCCATTCTCCTTTCACCTCTGCCCCTACTTAATCTTCCTTCACACAGTTAGTTCAGTTCCATCTCTACTGCTCCCCAGATCCTGACTAGATTATCAGTAAATTCCACTCTTTACAAGAGGACTCTTCATGTCCTGTATCTCTAATAGTAAAATTTCAGGCTTACAGATTACTAGTCTTCAGAAGTCCCCTTGTGAAAAGAATTACTTATCCTGAGAGCAGATTTTTGGGCATAGGGTTCTGTCTTTCTAGTTGACCTGGGGCCATGCTATTCAGGTGGTCACCATCTCTTACTGACCAATCTGAGCACAGACTTTAGTGCCTTAGCTCAAGCTGTGCTTAGAACCTGGGACCCTCCAAAAAGAGTGAAAGGGCTTGTTCTCTGAGATGAGACTAAAGGTTTTCTTAAAATTAAATATTAAAACCCTGGCTAAGTTTCCTCAAAGAATTAACAGAGTTACCATTGTTGTCTCGTGATTCCACTTCTGGATATATACCCAAAAGAATTGACAGCAGGGGCTCAGACATTTGTATACCCGTGTTCATAGCAGCATAGTCACAATAGTCAAGAGGTATCTAATGTAGGGAGGAGACCAGAGAACTAAACTTTAAATCAAGCTATGTTCAGAGACTGCAATCTGCCGATCAGCCAAACAGCCAGACCAAGAGGAAACCTGCAGAACAAAGGAAGATTTCTGCTAGGATTATTAACAAGCCATTTACCCATAGTGTGAAGGGAAAACAGAGTCTTTAAGTCATGCCCTACACAAAATAAAATCATTCATTCCCTATGGCTAAAACCATGGGGAACCAATGGATCAAAGGCTGGCAATTGCCAGCAGGCCTTTCACGCTACATATTCTTACCTTTTCACAGTACATATTATTACCTGTGGTTCCTCTTAGTGTCTTTTTCTCTGTCCTTCTTTCTGTTTCTGTCTCTCTCTCTGTGTCCCTCTTAAGTTTCTCTCAAGCGCTCTCACTCTGTCTCTGAAAGGAGACCCTGCTGTCTCGAGCATTACTCCTTCTCTAATAAACTTTCCTTTTGACTAACTCTAGTGTGCACTGGAATTCTTTTCTGTGCTCAGTCAAGAATCCTTATCTCTCAGTTCAGTGCCACTTGGAATTTGCCTAGTCCTGCATCAGTATCCATCGATGGATGAGTGGATAAACAAAATGTGGTATACATACCCAACAGGATATTATATAGCCTCAAAAAGGAATGAAATTCTTATGTATGTTGCATATATGGATGAACCTGGAAGACATGCTAAGTGAAATAAGCAAATACTGTATGATTCCACTCATAAGAGGTACCTAGAATAAATTCACAGAGACACAGTGGAATCGCAATTTACAGGGGAGGAATGGAGAGTTTTTGTTTAATGGGTACAGAGTTTCAGTTTAGGTAAGGAAAAGTTATGCAGATGGATGATGGTGATGATTGTATAACTGTAAATGTACTTAACCATACACTTAAAAATGGTTAAAATGGTACATTTTATCTTTGTATATTACCACAATTTTTTAAAAATCCTGTTTATAATAGCTATGTTCTTTCTGTTAGAAATTCTGAACAAAGAAGAAAATTTAAACTACTGATAATACCCTAAAGAGTAAGAAACAAGAGTTTGGGGTAGTTTTTGACTATTTTAAAAAATGTATTAATATATACTTTTAAAAGTTGTACGTATGGTTTTCTGCCTTTTTTCAATGTCGTGAAAATTTCTTTATATTCTATATCAATTTTTTTAATTTAAATTTTTTATTTTTTGATTACAGTTGACATTCAATATTATTTTATATTAGCTTCAGGTGTACAGCATAGTGGCCAGAAATTTATATAATTTACAAAGTGATCACCTCGATAGGTCCAGTACCCACCTGGCACCATACATAGTTATTACAATATGACTGACTATTTTTCCTATGCTGTACTTTACAGCCCCATGACTATTCTGTAATTACTAATTTGTAGTTCTTAATCCCTTCACCTTTTTCTAGCCCTCCAAACCCACCCCCATCTGGCAGTCATCAGTTTTGTTCTCTATGTTTATGAGTCTATGTCTGTTTTGTTCGTTTATTTTGTTCTTTAGATTCCACATATAAGTGAAATGTATTTGTCTTTCTCTGTCTGACTTATTTCACTTAGCATAATACCCTCTAGATCCATCCATGGTGTCACAAACGGTTAAAACTTCATTCTTTTTTTGGCCAAGTAATATTCCGTTGTATATATGTACCACATCTTTATCCAGTCATTTGATAGACACTTAGGTTGCTTCCGTATCTTGGCTATTTTACATAATGCTGGTTCCATGTGCACTTGAAAAGAATGTATATTCTGCTGCTTTGAGATGAAATGCTTTAAAAATGTTAATTAAATCCATCTAGTCTAATGTATCATTTAAGGCTGCTGTTTTCTTATTATTTTTCTGTCTGGAAGATCAATGCATTGATGACGATGGGGAATTAAAGTCCCCTGTTATGACTGTATTACTGTTAATATCTCCCTTTATGTCTGCCAATATGTGCTTTATATATTTAGGTATGCCTACGTTGGGTGCATAAATGTTTATAAGTGTTATATTCTATTGTTGGATTCATCCCTTTATGATTATGAAATATCCTTTGTCTCTTATTATAGTCTCTGTTTTAAAGTCTGTTTTGTCTGTTGTAAGTAGTGCTACCTTGTCTTTTTGTTTGTTCGTTTCCATATGCATGAAATATTTTTTTCCATCTGTTTACTATCAGTCTCTGTGTGTCTTTTAATCCAAAGTAGGTCTCTTATATAGTGTATGTATGGGTCTTGTTTTCTTATCTATTCAGCTACCTTGTGTCTTTTGATTATAAATTTGATTAAATTTACCTTTAAA